TCCCACTATAATCGGTGCTTAAATTTTTTTATCTCTCATTATGTTTGTGATTTGATTTTAGGTATAAATATAAATATGTTAACTATTTGTTTTATTACTCCGTGTTTTCAGACATAAAGAATAATTACTATAAGAATAAAATTCAAATACCTATCTCCCTTATCTATAATATAAATTAAATAAAGTTTTTAAAAAAGGGTTAATAATCTACGATGATGCATAAAAGCCAGCTAAAACCACTAAAGAAAGACAAAAACTACAGAGCGTGTGTACCCCATAGATAATCTGAAACATCGGGCGATTGACTTCAATTTCTTTTCCTTACCAGCGAAGCAAATTAGCACATAAAATCATTCAATACATTTCACAGTTTGATCATCAACTCGCAAATGGAGGAGTCTTTGCTATCAGGTAGGCTTCTACAGTTCACTATATCATCAATGTCTTCTTCTACAAATTCTGTATATTCTTATTATTGTTTCTCTGTAAGCTTTTCTGCAAATGGGTTTTCTATTTTTATAGATTCTACCTTTTTCTATGCTGTAGAATTATTGATTCCGTATATTTTTTCTGGGTATAGTGAAAAGTGAGATTGAAGATAAAGAGAGCGAGAGATTGAGTTCGTATCAGTATGTGGGAAGAACAGGATCCATTATTCCGACGGCTTCCTTCGCTGGAACTGAGGTCAGCGTCGATGAGATGCGGTCGGCCGCTGCTCTTTCTGATCGCTACCCTCCTTCTCTCCATGCCCCTTTGCTTAGCTCTCCCGAGCCCGAACCTAATGGTACTCCACCCTCATTCTTCCCAATTGCACACACCTATGAGTGGTTGTTAATGTTTTAAATTGTATGTTTTATGTTGTTCTGAGGAATGAGAATTGTACCTTAGGCTGAAATAAACATTGCATTAGGCTGGTTAGGTTGAGGGTTTTGTTTGTTTGATCAGAAAAAAATCGACATTTGAGGCAACCAAACAAATAATTTTTGGTTAAAAATTTTCTATTTCATTTTTCTGTGCATAGTGTTAAAACAAAGTTGATTGTTTAATGTCAATCTAAGTTATTCTTGTTGGGCCTTTTTAAATTCTCAAAAAAAAAAAAATTTGTTAGAGTGTAGGAAGACTTCTTGACAGATGGGCTTCTTTAAGTTGTTTTTGTGGTCAATTGTGTCTAGTTGATTAGACACACATTCATCATGCCCAACAATGCTAGCCAAATCCTGGTTTTTTTATTATCACTCCCTAGTATTTTCGTGAAAGACCATAGAAAGAAGAAAATTATAAGAAGTGCAATCTTGTTTGGGTTGTACCCATGCCGCAGTTTTGTTTCCATACCCGATTAAACACTAGTTCATTAATGTTATTGGGCCTCTACTAAGGTCAGCTAACCTTTCGGACCAGCTCCAGCGTTATATTACAGTGATATCTTTCTTAAGTATGGTGTGCATCACTAGATTTGGGAGAAATGAAACCGTGAACCAAACTTTATCTTTTTGGTCAGATAAATGACGATTCTTTTGTAGAGAATAAATGGTAAATACGTAAATTTTTATTGGAGGTGGAAGAGTTTAAGAATACTGGGATTTATTTACATTGTTCACTTAAGGTAAATCATGCCTTTTGAAATGTCAGCTTTTTCTAATTTCGATGAAAACACGTGATTTCTTTACATGTTCTCAGTATATCTTATAAGGCTTATTTCTTGGATGAAACATCATGGTCTCCTTTTGCAGAGCAAGCTATTGTCTATCAGGGTGGATATTATGGAGAATTAAGCGGGACCACTGGTGATGTTCGCAGGTAATAGGGAGTATGGTTTTCCAGGCCTGGGTTTTCACGTGTTTCTGCACAAATTCTTAAAATTGTGTATTAATTTCTGGCCATATCGAGCCGTCATTAATTACTGCAAATGACAAGCTTTAAAAAGTCGTGAAGGTGGACAATGTGGTTTTGACTTCGACATGCTATGTTTGAATGACATGACAAAATGGGGGCAACCTCTCTATGTAGGTCATGCATGCTTTATTGTTTTGTGAGAGTGGACTTTGGCACAGCGATAAAGTTGTTTATTGTGACCTGGACATCAAGGGTTTGATTCGCGAAAATAATCTCTTTGCATGGGGGGGTGAAGTTGAGGACATCTGACTCTCCCTAGACCCCGCATGGCGGGAGCCTTGTGCACTAGGCTGATTGTCTTTTTCTTTTTATTCTCTGAGTTACTAGTTTTTTCTCCCAAGATGATTGATTACTAATGAAATGATTTGATTGTATGCCTTATTGGCTCAGCAAAAATGAAAATAACATGTCTTTATTTGGACCATGAATGATGGGTTAACTCGTGGACAGTGTTATGCTGATAACATAGACATTTTGCACTGGTGACCTTTGTTTATATGAGTTTCATCATAGTATTTTATTGCATATGACAATCTGAAGCATTATGTTTGCAACAGCATCTTGATTTAATCGAAAATCTGTATAGGCAGATATTGGATGAAGTAGAGATCCGTGAACTACTCATTGACCATGTTGGTCATCGTTGCTGTTGGGGAAGTCGTCCAGCTCGGACCTGGCAGATCCATGCAGTAGAAGACTGCAATGTTTACATTGGGACTCTTGAAACTTTTATAGAAGAGAGGGAAACAGTAATAGAAACTGAACCATACCTTGGTGGCAGTATCGATGGAAAGGATAAGGGGCCTGAACTTGGAATCTGGGAATTGGATTTGAGGTCTGAATTTCCTGTCCTATTTGTAGCTCATAAAGAATCACGGGCCAAGATTCCTCGTTCTGAAGCTATTGAAAAATGCTCAGGTAATTGCTATTGGCATAGTTGCTCTTTAAAGAGTATCCTCTCTTACACTTGTGTCCTTATGTACATGTAATCTTCATGTTGTTTTCTTGTTTATGAGAAAATGGTCTTCCATATGATAGCAGCCAGTATTGTTGAGTAGTGATTTATCCTTCTCATGTTCGCAGTTTGTGCAGGACAAGGAAATCGAATGTGTCCTACTTGCAATGCAGATCAAGAGCCTGGATTCTACAAGGAAAACCAGATGGCTCAATGTCCTGCTTGCTATGGAAGGGGTCTAATTGCTCACAGGGATGGATCTGACACAATGTGAGCTGTTTACTATTTTAGTATCTATTTTAGTTATTGATGATGATTTAAAATGCAATCAGTTTTTATTGCTAGTTGGTTTGAAGCTTTAACTTTATTGCTCAAGTAGTCTTATTGTCTTCTTTTTATCATTTGCACGTCATTAACTAAAAATATACTGATATATGTCCAATTATAGTGACAGGTAATTTGGCTTGTTGACTCTTTTGCCTGATTGTTAATTATATGGTGGCTGCACTGTTGGTTTTTTGATTTTTGGAATCATTTATGTTTTCTGTTTTACAATAGAATGTTAAAGGATTTTATGTCTTCAGATGTGTGAAATGTACTGGTAAGGGAAAGATTCCTTGTGCAACTTGCGGATCTTGTGGACTAATCAAATGTGAGACATGTCAAGGTGGTGGTTCTCTACTAACGCGCAAGGGAGTTGTTGTTAGATGGTATGTATATTTCTTTTTTATGGAAACATGCCTACCTTGTCATACTTCCAGAAGGCAGAAAGGTCATCAATTGACACAAAGTAAACATTTTACCCCTGCGCTGCAATATACACCTACCCAATGTAAAGAGAGAGAGGTAGTCAATGGCATATGAAGAGTAAATGGGCATTTCCATCTGATTTTTTGTATATGATGATATGAATTCCCTTCTCGTCATATATTTCAAAACTTTCTGCATGCTTTATAAAATTGCTCACAGGCACCACCGAGCAGTTTGTTTAGTGGGTAAGTGTTCGGATTTCCTCACTCAATCCTTGGTTTCAAGTCTCCACAGCTATGGCAGCTTGGTCAGGCTAAACTTACTCTTCAGCGTCTAGAGCATGCGGTGTGACCTTAGCTTCGGCCCTGACATAGGTGTGGGTGGGGTCTCCTTCAGATAGTAGCGTGGATATGTGGAGTGACCTAATCTACATATCCATTTTGTGTACCAAGAAAAACTTGTTCATAGGCATAATATTCGAGGTAGCCAGGGTCTGTGTGCGCTTTATATTCTTGGTGTCGTATAAAAATAGACGGGTCACTGGAGTCGGGCTTTGAACATGTGCTGTTTGGAGTTTAAATGTTTGTGTGCTGAATTCGGAACTCATATGGCACACTTGATCCTCTGTGGCTGATGCACTAAATCCTGCATGCAATAAAAGGAGAATCGAAAAGGATTCTTTAACTGAAGTGTGGTTTGTCTGATGAGTACAATCGTACAGTTTCTTGACTATCACATGGCACGTATCATGATTTGTTTTTATTCAAGTTAAGCTTTGTTTTGGTTTTGGTTCATATCATACAAAACTCAACAGACGTTACCTGTGATTTTAATGCAAATATCTTGTTTTAATGAGAAATTCTGGGTCACCGTATGCTCTCTTCAATAAGTTTGATGGAAAGATGATCGATCGATATTTTTGCCTCTGTAGGAAGACACTTTCTACTAGAAAAGTAAGTGCAACAAGTGGAGCAGCCTCTGTTCCAGATGATGTGTTCCACAGAGCCAAAGGGGTCCAGTTGTGCAACACTCAGGCATATCAGTGCGCTCCTGCCTTTTTTGCTGATTCGTTCTTCCTCAACAAGTTCTCTTCTGAAGTAATTGCAGAAAGGGCTCCTGTACCTCCCACTGCAAGGGTCATATGCGAGAGGCATACCATATCTGTCGTCCCAATGACTCGTGTTACAATGACTCATCGTGGGCAGTCTTTCAGCTTCTATATTATTGGTTTCAGCAGAGAGGTCTACTTGAAGGACTACTATCCTTCTAGGTTTTGCTGGGGGCTATGCCCATGTTTGGATTGGTTGAGGTTATGATGAAGCTGCTATAGTCTTCAAGTGGCAAACACCAGAATTTTTTTTTTCGCTACCCGAATAATCTGGTGATCTCTGTGCTTCAGTTGGTTACCTCTCTCACATACCCGTGTGAGCATGAGGTCGCTGCTACTTTATGTTTGCTGTTGCTCTGGATGGTACCTGGTGATATAGTGTTGATATGTTACTTTGATACTCTTTTAACTGCTGAGTGAGTTTGTTTAGTTGCTATTGTTCATAAAAAAAGATTGGTAAGTGGGTTCCTTTTCTTTTTCTCTTTCCCAGGGCTTGTAACTCTATTTTATTTCTTCTTTTATATGTTCTCAAAATCAGGAAGGGAAACAAAGCACAATACTTCATTTCAGTTTGAAATTTTCATTACTATCGTTACTTACTGATTGGTTAGTGTCTAGCAGGGACACTCGGCTGCTCTCGTCGGATGCTTATGGTTATACTCGACGTTTACAGGTTTTGTAATGAAAAATTATGTCTAATGTACAAGGCCTGTTTGTTTTGTGGGCTTGGGGGCAATTAGAGTTTGGGGAAAACAGTCTAAAAGGACCTTCAAAATCCCATGTTTGGGGTAAAATTTTAATCCTGGGTTACCAAACTCAATTAGCAACCGGTCCGGATATTAAACCTATGATCATGAGTTTCGTCAAAACATAAGGGGCCTATTAGGTATTATTTTAAAGGAGGGGTTTGGATTGAGTTGTCTAAATCCTTCCAAACCGAAAGATGAGATTTAACATTTAATATTGTTCATATACCCATGTTTGGTATGCGTAAAAATATATAATTATTATGACAATATATTTGTATATAAATGATTATTGTGTCCCTTAACACATGTTTGTCTATAGGGTATATAGGATATATAGGGAGTATAAATGTCATTTGAATGTTAAAACCCATTAACCCACATATGAAACACCCCCATGAGTTTCATGATCGGGTTGAGTTTCAAACTTTGGGTTAAATGTGTATTTACTAAATATGGGTTTGAGAGGGTTTATTCCCCAACCATTGTTCCAAAATCCCCCAAACTTGCATACTAAACAGGTCCAAGGGGGTCTGAGTTTGAAAAAATGAGTTAAAGGGTTAAGGATAAAAAAAAATAATTGTATTCCTTAGCATGAGTATGAATTGAATTGATCAAGGGATAAAATAGTTATTGATAATTATGTGTATGTGTTGTATACCAAATATGAATACGAACTGGATTCAATGTGAAATTCTATTTGTGTAGAGAAGGGTTTAAGTTTAGAAGAGTTTGAAAAAATCAATTTAAATCCTCACAAAATGTTCATTCAAACAGGCCCAAAGTGTTACCTCCTATAGAGAGATTCTGGAAGATATACGTGATAAATAGTTCTATTTTTATCGTCGTTGTCAAATCGAGCACACTACAAGTTAATAGTGTGGCAATAGCACTTGTTATTCTCAATTTGCAGGCTCGTAGAAATTTACCGTAAAAGTGGGTGACTCCTCAACTTTATGGAGTCATTATACTTTTCAGGTGTTTCTGGAAGATGTGGGCAAGCTGTGGCCAAAAGATAGGGGAAGTCTACGGTACCAAAAATTATAACCGTTCGGGGAAAAGATATGATCGCAGAAGTCATCATAGACTTTTCTAAAATAGTTGTAACTTTTCTCTTAAATATTATAATTTAATCTTCAAAAATTGTAACTTAAATTTGAAAATTATAATTTTTGGTATCGATTTTAACCTTCTATGATCAGGGCCGACTTTATAGTATAAAAATGAAAGTGTGGACTTTTGGCCCCACATATGAAAAATGCCCTAAATTTAAAAATCAATTATGTAATATAAGCTAAAAAATAAAATTTACTACAATATAACCTAACAAAATAAATTTTGGAAGAGTAAATCAATAACCAAAAGTTCAGACCACGTCACACAATCACATTTATTAAAGGACAAAAAAAGCTTAACAAAAAAAAAAATGCCGATAAAATTTTTCTCTTTCTCTAATCAAAAGAAGTATAATAAACATTTCCTTTTAGTTAAAATAAAAAAATCAAACACATTCTCTACTTCTATTAAACTTGTTTTTTTTTTTTTCATTTGAACGCAAAATATTAATTAAACCATTTATTCTCATTAAAAAAATATTTTGATAAAATTCTTATTCGTTACAAATAAAATATAAAAAAAATTTACGTGAAAGTTACATAGATAAATAAGGAAAATTCAAAGATAGTGAAATAATCCAAAAGAAATATAACAATGAATTTATTTATAATATAGTCAATCATCTAATACCACAATTTCAATAAAGAAAATATAAAACAAATAGAAAGAACATAAAAATATTAATGAAGAAATTAATTTTATTCTTATAAATATTTATGATCAAAAATCATATTATTAGCAATTATAATTAACAATTTCGAATCTCATCAAAAAGTAAAAATAATAGATTTTAAATTTAAAAATTAAATTATTAATAAGAAAATAAAAAATTTCATTGGCTGTCATTGTTTTAGGCCCCAAATGTTGTTGAGCCACCCCTATTTATAAGTTGTAATTTATACTTTTAAAAAAGGAGAAGGCTACGGTACATCCAAGGGTATTTTCGGTGTCATACCGAAAATTTCATATTACAACATTAATGGTATGTTTATTAAATTTATGGTATATTTACACTGATTGGTAGGCAAGACAAGACATATTTTTGAGCTGTCATTAAGTTAATTGAGGGCAAAATTACAACATTAGTGAGAAGTTTACGACTATAATGAACAAAATTATAATATTAGTGAAAATTTTACAACAGTAATGAATAAAATTATAAAATTTGTGGGAACATTTATCAAATTTGTGGAAATATTTATAATTTTAGTGGTATATTTACTAAATTTGTGGGAATATTTTCAATTTCAGTAATATGTTTATCAAATTTGTAGAAATCTTTACAATTTCAATGAAATTTGAGAGTCTTTTAAATTATTTTTTTCAAACTCATCTTGTCAAACTTTCCGTACCCCCTTATCAAACAAGTCCTTATGATTTTGGTGAAAATATCACAGATGGTCTAGCATGTTCTTCTATGGCCTCTTGGTCTTTGTTATGTTGTTCTCTCGTAGAACTCTTTAATAACTTCTTGAACTACGAAAGTTCAGAGTACTAAAACACGTCTTCATGGTTAATGTAAGGCTATAGCATAAATAGTCAAAAAATATTGTTTTCCCCCCCCTTTTTTGCACACATTGCATTGCGGGACTAAGGACATAGACTTGGTATTTCAATCTCACTCTCGACCTTGTGGGAGTTTCTAATTTGTCGAACTCCGCTTGTTGATCTCTTGCTATCACATTTAGTTTGGTTCGTGCCATGCCGACGTTCCAATGTTCCATCTAACTCCTATTGTATTATTTTGATGATTTAAAACACGTAATTAGCGCATAAAACATTCCATCAGTGTCCCCTAACAAGAACAATAAGAATAAAAAAATTTGTACGAATAATAACACAGAATATTAAATGTCGTAATCATGTTTACTACACCTAAGATTCATTTGGAGTGGCATCGTACTAGCATATCCTGTTTTTTTTAATGGTCTGCTTGGGCGGCTGTAGGAACTTACTTTCCAACCACCATGACTTAAAATACTATGTGAATATGGGCTCACTTTTTATAAAAAAATATTAGGGTTTTTCGCACTCAACACCGTGAAAATATTTAAGATTTTTATTTATATTTTTAAATATTAAATTTTTTATATCATACTCTCGATATATCAAAAGTGTTATAATATAATTTTTTTGTTAGTTTATATTATTTTTTTTTGTCAAAAATTGACTCATTGATACTGATGAACAAACTAACAAAAAGCTAATAGATGATCAAATTATAATAATTTTGATACATTAAGTGATAATATAAAAAATTTAATTTATGAAGGTATAAAATAAAAATTTTGAAATCTTTCGTGACACAAAATACAATTCGCCCAAAATCTGATGTAGACATAATGCTTTCACATACATACATCTATACAATAAAATAGAGCATGTTTCAATAAGTTCATTCGACGATCTCAAATAGATTTAGCCAACCGACCACCAACATTCCTCTCAAAACTATTTACATTACACCCTATTTTCAGATACGGATTACCCCTAATATTATAGCAAAATAGGTGTTCGATTTTGATTTGAATGCAATACGAATCAAAATTCAATTAATCAGACATGAATTAACACTTTTGATCGAATTTGGATCTGAAATCTAAATTATTTTGTAATATTTCATTGATTCAAATTTGAACACCTAATGTGATTATTCAATTAAATTGAGTTGAACTTTGAATGTAATTTGTTAAAATTTAATTTTAATTAAGTTATCGACTCAGATTTATGATGTTAATAGTTTTGGATTGTATACTAAAATAAAATTTATCAAATAATTAAATTAAAATTTTAAATTAAATTCAAACCAATCAAAATTCTTATTTTTGGCAGTGGTAACCAGAAGGATATATATAATACTAAACAATAGTCCCTTTGCCACCTCATTAAGTTTAGAAGTTGTCGTATGATTATTTTATTTTGGTCAGAATTGTCCCTTTGCCACCTCATTGAAAAAGAGGCATTATTCTGACAGCCTACTTGCTTTTTAATACTAAAAATTAGAAGGCAAAATAAAAAATGGAAGAAAAAAAAAACACAGCTTAATGTTGTCAATGTGCATGCTTACAACTACGTGATATAACGTAGTAACTGCCTCCATTCTAATATCTTTTTAGATTAATTAAAGCCAAACAATGCGAATTAATTTTTTTCTTTGGGTACAAGATGTTTAAACTTGTACCAATTATTTTCTCGAACTCAACGACTGACATAATGGGCCTTCAATTTAAAAATTCCCAATTCCAATTCCAATTCCAATTCACAAGAACACATTCAAATTAAGCATTATTGAACGTTAATGAATGCAAGTGAGAGGTATCTATAATATAAAATATGATAAATTTTAATAAGTTCATTCGATGGTCTCAAATAGATTCATTTAACAGTCATCAACATTCTTCTCAAAACCATTAATATTGATTTATGTTACACTATGCTTTCAGACACAGGTTGGTTACTCCTAATCTTCCAAAAACAAAAACAGTAATTAGAGAAATTAATAATTTAACTCGGGGAAGGGCTTTAAATTTCTCAATAATTTTAGAAGGGAAAATACTATTTGTACCTAGTTTAGGTACTTAATATGGGACCCAATTTACTACAACTATTGAATTCATTAATCAAATAGAAGTTAACATTATCATGTGTAACTCACATGATTCATCAACATCCTAAGAATTTACACACAAACCAATGTCCGAAGCAATTGTACCTCACATATTTTAATTTATTAAGGAAAAT